AACAGACAAAGGCCAATACTTAAAAAACAACATTTTTTGTTTTTAATTAGGCACCCAAAAAATGCTAAAGAACATTTTTGCGTAACCCATCTTGATAATCGAAATATTCAATACACTCCGATTTTTTCGTTAATGGGAGTCCAACAACCCCGAAGACGCAGGAATGCATTCCTACTCCCTTTTTAGTTGAGCTCCAAGAATCCCAATCATAATTTTAATCAGGCGCCCGTCATTCCTTATTCTGGCGGGGGCGGGCGGGCCCCCCCCAAAATTAATCAAGCGCTTGGCTCAGGATTGATTGACACCATAGAATGCCCAAAATATGTGTGTGTGTGTGTGTGTTTTTTTTTTCTCTCTCGCGTTTTTTATGTCTGTATGTGGGGGTCTTCGCCCAATGGGCTAAGTTACAGTAGTTTGTCAGTGCCTGTCTCTCAGACTAGGGACGGAAGGGCCAGCGGCTCTAACCCGGTGAGGGCCTCAAAAAGCAGACAATCCAAATTTGGGCCGTCGCGACTTTCCAGCTGCAGCGGCAGCTGCAATGGGCTGCCCAATATTCTGTCGGCAATCGCTTGCTGCGCCATGGCGGAATGCATGCTCCACCAGCGCTTTGCCCGGCTTGCTGACGCGGGTGCTCGGACGGCTGGCGACCATCTAGTGCTCGGACTCGCACCAAGCTCCGCGTGAAGCGGCGCGCCTGTTTTATTATATTCTTTCTTCATGATTTTTCCGTCTGCTCAACGTGTTTCGTTCGGTGTGAGCATTGGTGGCTCAGCGCAGCTTGCCCCCCGCCTCCAGCTGTCGTGCTGCTGTCGCAGACGCTTCGTGCTGGCCAAGCGCAGGCGACGCGGGTGCGAAGGAATCGCTCTGCTTGACCCATGGGGCTTGAAACCGGACGGAGGGCAAGACGCGCGGCGCCACCCCCTTTGAGCTTGCCGATGATGGCTGCGCAGCTGACGCTGTCATCTGCATTGCGGCCATCAAGTGAGACTATCACGCACGTCACTGTCGCGCGGCCGCGGCTAGTTGGATGCTGTCACCACCACCATCGAGTGCGAAGCCGGGGTCGCGGCAAACCTTGGCAAAACGAAGGTCTGTCATGTCCGTGGCGGCCGCCCGCCACCCAGCATACACGAGCTTGGTGGGCGCGGCGACAAGCCTCCCGCAAAGCGCGGGTTCGTTGCTTTGGGCGTGCCAATCGGCCTTCAAGTGTCCATGCGGTCATGCGCCGGCAACCGCTTGGAGGAGGAGCGCCCAATTGCCCGCCACAGCTCCCGGACCTGCAATGTGCCTGGCTGTTGCTCCTTTTCTGCGCCGCTCCCCGATCGCAGCCTGTTCCTCCGGCTGCAATAGCTGAATATTCACGGGCGCATGCCGATGAGGTCTGGCGGACGCTCCAGGACATGCTGGGCGGCCAAACGGCTGATGCTGAGCCCGCGCAACGCCAGGCCCCTGACATTGCGTTCTTGCCTGCGGGCCCGGGGCCTGGGCCTCATGCATGTGGAACGCCCTTTCCCGCAGGCTTTTCGGGCAGCATGGGCGGATGCACTGCCTGTGCTGCAACAATTGTGCCCAGAGGCGGTTGGGCGTAGTCTGCTGGCGAGCCGCGGTTTTGTGCTCGAAAAGGCCTGGAATCGGTCCCTGCCTGAGAGCTCAGAGCAAACTGATATGGTCGGGTGGCCACGTTGGCGAAGGCACGTGCAAGCACCCGCAGGCCGCTGCCAAAACGAGCGATAACTGTCGAAAACGCCGCTGGCGATTGCCCCTCTACTGGTCAGAAAACCTCCGGCTGACCATTTTGGAAATTAATGCCCCAGGGCGGATCCCAACAACAAACGGAAAAGGAAAAGTCCCTGTTGGCTGGAATCAAGTAAGTTTACGTTAGCCTTGAAGATCAGGGTCGCGCAACAAAACATTGGTGTCAGCGAGGCTTGAAGGTTGTCGTGGGTGCGATCTGGCCAGAAGGGCGGGTGGTGCCACAGCAGTGGCTGGCCAACACCACCCCCCGGGGTTGTGGCAGACGATGCGAGCGACGTGCAGCGCAGTTCGCAGCTGACACGGCACCCTGCAGGCTGCCGCTGCGATGAGGCCCTAGCCGGCCAAGTATCGGCTGCTCGCGTTTGGTTGGTGTCATGCTTGGGACTTGGACCTTCAACCGGCGGGCGGAAAACAGGCGCAAAAAAAAACAAAAAAACACACACAGGCGCAACAACAAAACAAAAACCTTACCGGCAAGCCATTTGTCAACCGTTGTTTTGGGTTTGTGGATACGTGAAGTTGTTTGTCCGCAAGTGCTATCACCCCAGCACAGGAAATGATTGCAGGGGGGGGTGGGGGGGTCAAATGATTTCATTTCCTGCAATCATTTTTTTCTTTAACCTCCCCCAGAAATGATTGCAGGGGGGGGTCTTGGAGCTCGCAACACAGGGCTATGCAGCCAACACGGAGAGGTGTGTGTGGACATGCCAAGAGCAACCGCGAAGGTTTTCCGTCAAGCCATGCCTGCTCCGAGGATCCTTTTGTTGCAAGCGGACGTGGCCGCAGAATTCTATGTGACGCATTGCTGACTGTAGTTTGGTATATCCATTGTCGGCTGCAAATGGGACATAGTGGGTCACAACAGCAGTGCATGTTTGGAGGAAAATTAAATCTATGTAATCCTTTGCGCGGCAGATGCATCACGAACAGCATCGCACCTACACATGTCATGATCCTTGGACAAACATCTTTGTTACAACGCCGGACCGTAGAAGAGCGTTGCATGGCTGCCCGTTGAGTCTCGAACTCACAATTTCCAATGTACCTGGCCGGCATTTTTTTTGGACACACAGATGACAGAGGGTATTGATTTTTTTTGGGGCGAGATATTCTTGCAGATATACCCTGACACATGTTCGTGAAGCTGTTTGCAAGGCCACCCAAGAAAAAACAAAAGACGAACGGCGACACTGATCCAGAGTTACTGGGAGCAGTCAAGCCGGTTGTTAGGCACGGCGAAATCTCTCAGTGGTGTGCGGCTTGCATGCAATCATTTTCTTCCATCGCAGAAGCAAGGATAATTTCCAGACAAGGCCGCATTTGACTATGTTTGTTTTGCACGCAAGGTATGTTATGCAAAGGCGAATACCAGTAGCTACGTTGTGTTCGCGGCGGACCGCAGCACAGCGGACGAAATGTGGCTGGCAGCATGAAGCAACAAATCTGGGTAGGCGAGCGCATATGTCTGCATGGAATGTCCATGTTATGCGGGGCATTTTTTTTCCTTGGGGCATTGCCGTCCGAGGCTTGGGGTGTGCAGACTTCATCCTGACATGAGCAGGGCGCAACTCCGGGAATTGTGCCACTCACCATAATTTATCGGCAGGAGACACAAGCCCATGATAGCCCATGGCACGTTTCCTGGGCTCAAATTTTTGTAGGTGTATGTGACTGTATGTGTGTGGACGCCGTGCTCTCTAGGTAATTCTCTTCGTGCCGGCGCAGGGGGTGCGCAGGCAGGATTTTTTTTTTTTTTTTTTTT